ATCGAGTGTGAATATAATCCACTGTTTCAACCAGTGAATCGTTAAGATCTTGGTGAAAGGGCGAATTGGGTGGTGCATAAACAGCAGCTACGAACATTGTATGGAGCTTCTGAGAATCCAATCTAATCCATAGGACCTCGAGCTCGGGTGACGTCGCATTATCAAGAATGGTAACATTAAGATCAGATCGGGTGTAGATTGCGACGCCGCCACCTTGACGACCTCTGCGATCACGACGATGAAGCGCAAATCCAGGAATATGGAATTGTTCATCAGGTTTAGAGTCATTCAGCCAGGTTTCACATAGAACTGCAATATCAGTTTGATTAACATTCATTGTAACAATCAAGTCATCTAATTTATTTGATAGTGATCGAAGGTTACTCAACAAAATTGATGGGTATGGAGTTCTCTTTGTAGAACTTGAGATATTATTTGCATTGATATCTGTCTGAATTGTAATAAGATTGTTAGCACAAACGTTCCTTTTATTCAGATTTCGGGCCTTAGGATATCTCGAAACAACGGAGTTAATCGGCCGATGGATGTGACTACCAGCCCTTCTTCCCCGTTTGCGCTTTACGATACCGAGTTCCCTGGCAACACGACGCACATTCTCAACCGGATACGAGACATTGTGACGTAACTTGAACAGTTCGGCGACTGAATAAACGTACCGTTGCGGACAATGAGAATTTGACCGACCAGGGCATGATTTATCCATTGTGTTCGTACCAGAAATTTGCATATGAAAGACAGAACTCGGAAGTGTACAGCCTATAATTCGTTGTGTGTGTAAGTCTATGACCGTCGAGAACAACGATAATGTCAACAACAAACTTGTAAAATGTAGGCATACGATAAAACGAAACACATCCATACCTGGTTACAGTGAGTCCTGAATATACAAATAGAAGCTTGGCGAAGAGCGGCAAAAGTTATATAAATAACAAACAGTAACAAACAGTAAAACAAATGTAATATGTACAGCTCAAAAAATCTACCAGGGCCGCAGCTCAACAGCGCCCTTCTATTTGAATGTAAAACTATTCTATTTGAATGTTGGATGTAAAACACAGTCTCCATATCATCCCTCCATGCATGGTGTGGGTACATGGGGAGTGAGCCCTGAATGAGCGCAACCCAGGGCGAAGGCTTTTTTTTTTTTTTAGTCCCTTGCGTTCGCCTGTGACGGGTAGGGGGGGGGGGGGTGGGAAGAATTAAATTTGTATAACCTTCGGATTTTTCGTCACAGAATGGTCGAGATGTCATGTGCAAGCCCTGTATCGAAGGTTTCAACCACCACCATCCCTGATCCCACCCCTAATCTCGTATGAAGAGTACAGTGGGGTTTTTGTTTCCCATAATTTTTCATTATAACGGTTATAGTTTGGGAACTCTTCTACACATCATAGGCCTCCATTGGCATCCTAATCCCGGGATGTCGGCTTTTCCACCATGACCTGGCCTGTGTCTATAGAACATGACAAGGGAGGGCTGCACTGGTGTACTGATGAGTGGGAGGGGGGGGGGGGGGGGTTTAGGCGTGCCCCCCAAATAAAATTCAAACATAGTTTCTTTCTAATTCGATACCAATGATTTACAAATTTTGCTGAAATGACGTGACTTTCAGGGATATTTTGTTACTGTTCTGTAAATTATACTTTTTTTTTATCTGTTTGCTGGAAAATGACAATTTCCCAAGTTTGCAGTCCGCCAACATTTACTTATTTAGAAGCCTACATGTCAGGGCCCGCGGAACAGGGGGGGGGGGCTGAGGGCCTCGAGCTACCCCCTCACTTTAAAAAAAAGTATGTTTAAAATATTAAAATAGAAAGAAAAGAAGAAAGACAAATTGTGACCTGCCAGTGCCACAAGTGAGGTATCAAAATGTGCCCATCTGACCGCAAATACCTACCTTAAAACCCTGAACTTGCTAGGGCTCCGCCCCATCAGAGGGGCCCTAGGTCAGTCCCCTGGATGCTCATCTGACCATTATTAAATGTCTAAAACCCATGAGCTTCATGAGGCTCAGTCCCCTGGACCCCAACCTAATTAGTGACCTGCTAGTGTGACAAATTAAGGTATCAAAATATGCTCATCTGACCGTAATCAAATGCCTAAAAACCCCTGAGCTTCCGAGGGGTACGCCCCTTGACCCCCCCCCCCCCCCCCCCCCCCTCCATAAGCATAAGCATAACTTATACTAGGGGAATGTTGATATCGGACAAGAGACGTGACTTGAGCTTGCCCCCTTTCCAAAATTGTGCCCGCTTGTAAGTACCAGTACGCACACATAGGAGCATCACTATCCTGGCTGTGTAGTAAAAGCTGTGCTTTTGATTCTCAACATTTCAAACACCACTGTACAAAACAACTGATTTCACTCAAAATCGGTACTTTAGTGACAATTGATGATACCTAAATAGCAGTAAAATACACTTACTGATGTTAAAAAGAATAATTTAAAAATTCAAATTGTAAGTCTAGTGTCAAACTTTGCTTACAGCTGCACCGACATGATTGTGTACAGTCTATGCAATATTGTGTGGTGTGTGTATTTGTGTATGGGTCTAAAAATACCGGCCTCACAGCAAGCATGCAGCTAGAGGTCAAAACGCGTTGGCGTCGACTCTCTATGCTTTGCTGGAGTGCCGGTACGGTGCTTTTAATATGACCTTGTCAGTATTGGCAAGTCGAGTTGAAATAACGTTCTGCGCTATTTTCAAATTTCCAGCCCCCCCCCCCCCCTCACCCTCTATTGGATAATCCTGGATCCGCGCCTGAATGCATATTGACCTTTAGCGCTGCACTACGTGCTAAGAGACAGCAATTGCACATATGAATAGTCAATTATTGCACACAATGTCAATGAAGACAATGTGGCTGATCGGCAAGTTTGACAGTAGACTTATAATTTGAATTTTTTAATTATTCTTTCTGACAGTCAGGGGGGGCACTGTGCCCCCACTTTTTAAATGCCCCTATTAATTAGTCTAAGTGCCCCTTCCACTTTTCAACTCTGATAAGTGCCCCTTTTATTTGGACACGTGCCCCTTGTCCTTTACAAGTTCCCATTTTCATTTGCAATAAGTGTCCGTTTTCCATTCTCATTAGTGCCCTTTTTAATTTGCCCCCTATCAGGTACGAGAAGTGCCTCTTTTCACCTTTGATAAGTGCCCCCTTTGCCTCTGATAATTGCCCTATTCAAATCAGAGAGGTGCCTCTTTTACTTTGACAAGTGCCCCTTTTCTTTTGTAATTTTAACTCGGATAAGCGCACCTTATATTTTCACATGTGTCCCTTTTCCTTTCTAATATAAGTGCCCCTTTTCCAGATGATAAGTGCCCCATTAAAACAGAGCCCCTTCCCCTTCTCATAAGTGCCCCTTCTCTGGTAATGACCCTTTTCAGGTTTCGAGGCATTACTCCTTTTCACTTCAGGGAGGTGCCTCCTTCACCTCCGATAAATAGTCTACCCCTTTAAAACCCGATCGGTGCCCATTTTTCGCCTGATCTGCAAGACTAAAAAGTAGTTCAATTTGAATATTTAAATTTATAATAGGCCTACAACATTTCTATTCCTTAAACATTTTGAACGGCTGATGTGATTGTGAAAGACTAGTCGACGCACCCTTTCGAGAAAAGACCCCCTGCTTATCCCGAAAGGGTGTGTTAAAACGGTAGACCCCTACTCCGTTCTCAACGCACCCTTTCGAGAAAAGCGGGGGGGGGGGGGGGGCTTTTCTCAAATGCGTTGAACTCACCACACCCTTTCGATGTAAACGCTCCAGCAAAGCATAGACCTAGTCAATGCTAATAAATACGTACCTCTACTCTAGCACTGCATACTTGCAGAACTACCAACTAACCAAGTGTCACACATAGGGCATGACGTCACGCATTTCGAGGGTCTGAAAACGCTCTCATGCACGACGCGCGCGAGCGCTACATTAAAAAAACAAGCTAGACTATAGTATTTGCCGGCGTATAGGCCGCAGTATTTTTGGAAGAGAAAATATCAAAAAGTCGGGGTGCGGCCTATGCGCCGAAAGAGTAAAAAAAGTTTTTTTTTTTTTTTTTTTTTTTTTTTTTTTTTAGTTTCGATTTATGGCGCTATGCCTGGCAATGTCTCCCAGCTCAGTAATCAGTGTGTTGACTCACCACTCAGAAACTACAACAACACTAAAATTTGACTGTCATCTTGGTTTGAAAGTAATCTTTCTAATAGATCTCAATATGTAGTTTATAATAATAGTTCCTCAAATTTTTTTTCTATAACAAATGGTGTACCACAAGGTACACCACTGGTACCATAGGTACTTTATTGTTTTTAATTCACATTAATGATCTTACACATTCTTCTAAAAACGACATTGTTACTATTATTTGTGACAAGTTTACAAGCACAAATCAGCGCCTTTAACTGAACCTCGATGTTAAATGAAGGTCCTTCCACGCGTGGGTTTTTGGCAGTAAAACAACAACAACAAAACAAAAAAAACGATTTTTTTTTTTTTTTTTTTTTTTTTTTTTTTTTTTTTTTTTTTTTTTTTTTTTTTTTTTTTTTTTTTTTTTTTTTTTTTTATGTCAAAATCGGGGGTGCGGCCTATGCGGGGGTGCGGCCTTTACGCCGGCAAATACGGTATATAGAAATCTAGATCTAGATTATGATTCATGAAAATGTCACGCATTGCTGATCTTTGAACTTGGCGTCTCTGTACTTGCTGAGAGGCAGATAATACACACATAGGCTACACACTATTGCATCGACTCAGACTGCACAGCTTCCATGGATAGCATTACCTATACAATGCAGCTAGGCCTAGTCTATTCCATTGTGATGTGTACTAGGCCTACTAGATGTGTGCCTGAAACAAGCTAATAAATAAAACGATAATTCCAGCTCATCTCTAGGCCTATAATTTCTACTTAACCCAACATGTTTACTGAAATATCGGTTCCTATATCGATCACCTTTTCATTGATTAATAATCTTACCTTAGCTTATCACAATATCAGATTTTAGATGTTTTTTTTCTGGGAGAATTCTTACTCGGCCCTGGAAGTCGCATAGGCCGAAGCACTGACAGCTTTTCTGGTGAGATGGCGCTATTTCACAACAAGAAACTATATGCACAGCATACATTATGGTGACTGATAAGGACCTCTTTAATAATAATAGTCTTACCAACGTGGGAAAGCTAAAGAAAATGGCAAAAAATTGCTGAGAATGAACAAAAGTCGGAGAAGCAGCGGACGAGTCTATACCAGACTTGTCTGTCTAGACTGCAGTCTTGATCGAATGGCCAGGCCAGCTCGAGCGCCCAGGCCCAGGGGCAAGGTAAGTAACACACATTGGTGCATCACTATCCTGGCTGTGTAGTAAAATCTGTGCCATTTATTCTCAACATTTCAAGTACCACTGTACAAAACTCAAGTAATTTCACTAAAAATCGGTACTTTAGTGACAATTAATGACACCTAAATAGCAGTAAAATACATTTTTTTCAACTTATTGATGTCAAAAAGAGTAATTTAAAAATTCAAATTGTAAGTCTAGTGTCAAATTTGCCGATCAGCCCAATCGGGGCTATTGCGTGCAGTCTATGCAATAGTGTGTGGTGGGTGTATCTATGTATAATACCTGCCTCTCAGCAAGTATGCAGTGCTAAAGGTCAATACGCATTAGCATTGACTCTCTATGCTTTGCTGGAGTGGTTAAGCTGCATAGCCTCTTAATTGTGACAATTAAAGTAACGATATACTTAAAGATAAAGACCAGTTATGGTCATGCGATTGCTTTGTGAAAGAAACGTTGTGGAATCGATCAGAAAAGGTTGATCATCTAGCGAACTGCAAGGTTCTGGAATCATCAAAATTATAAGAAATTTGGCCCAGTCTTCGTAAAGTACAAGCACTGTACACAGAAAGATGTATATGGGACTACGCGCACTTGCGCGACACGTGCGTTTATCTCTCACAGGCCAATAGATAAACTAATTTACCAAATATATCGATAAGTAGGCGGTTTCCTAGACCGAAAACTTCAGTCTCTCTAATCGTCGGTTGTTCCACTGAGACTACGTCTGGCTCCACTAGACCTCCGATTACAGATTATTGGGGAACGACAACAAATGTCAGTTTTATTAAAGAAATGACCCAAATCAGATGGTTATTGCTGTCTAGCGGTTTCCCAGCAAATTTTTTTATCATCATTTATTAGTCAAAACATATTCTTTCACATGATTGGTAATGAGAGCTCCCATTTTATTTTTTGAAATTGGGGCGTTTCCAATACTGGTCTTTACCTTTAACCCTGAATTTGTATGTATTTTTAGGTTTTTTTTCTTCCTATAGTCTAGGCCTTACCACCAATGAGTTCTTCAGGAGCTTAATTAGTATTGCATGGGTTACAGATTGATACTGTCTTTACCTAGTTCTGGAAATGAAAATGCATATCATGAGAAATTGGATTTAAGACATTTCTAATTGTTATAGTCTACGGTATGTTTACCAATTATCGTGCAAATGCTGGGTTGTTGACACTTGTTGTAGATGTACAATGCTGAAAACAGAATTCTCTAACTGAGGAAGGGGCACATTTGTAAAAAAATATTTAAAAAAAGAGAAACGTACATGCTGATAATTTTTTTTTAAAGAAGATTCTTTTAATTCAGAGGTGATTTTGCTTTTACAAAAAATCTCAGAAGTAAGATAAATGTGTGTGTGTGTGAAGGGGGGGGGGGCATACGTGCACAGATTTTAATGAGATTCAAGTACATTTTTTCTGTTCATGTTATGGGTTTTGCCTGGCAAGAGGGCGCAAGTACATGTATATGAGAAGTGAACAAAGTGAACCTTAGAACATGACTCCTTCAAGCGACACTGCATTATTAATATTATCTATTTGATTTGATCCCTCAAAACTCTCAAATTCTAAAGCAGTCATGCTATCCTCAATAATTTGTTTTCTCTCTTTTTTCTTCTATTTGCAATATCTTTTAGAAAAGCATGTCCAGAGAAAAGAGCAACACGGAATCAATTACGAAAGTAACAGCGGACGAACCACAACCAACCAAGAAACTAGGATACACGGCCCTCATGATCAAGGAAGAAGACTTTGAAGGCTTGGCAGAAGATGGTCATTCCAAACATCTACCGGTGTCTCAAAAGCTGACATTGTTGGAAGAACCAGAAGTGGACATTTATTCTGTTGTAGCGAATGAAAAAAACTTGGGAGATGGCGGGCCTGATAGCGAGTCTCAAGGGACATATGAAGAGCTTCTACTGAGGCATGAGCACCATGCAGGTTCCATTACGAGAAAAGACAAAGACGGTGATTGCGCAGAGGAAGATGGTGCCATAGAGATGAATTTACAACTATCAGATCAAGTACACGTAAACGATGGCTGTAGTAAGGAAGACGGTGGCAAGGAGATTCATGCATCACAACTGGGTGAAGTGAATTACCTGACCTTAACGGGCTATGTAAAGGAAGAACCTTTGGATAGTGACTCCATGGAAGGTGTACTTAATGGTGCCAACTGGGGGATGATAAAGCCACAGCCATTAGGTGAAGAAGGTTAGTGGCATGGTCATTCAGCCTTGTTCAACAAAATGTTGTAAACTGCCTCACAACAAAAATTGTGCAGTAATTAATCTTGCAGTGGGATTTGTAATTTTGTATCATATAATTGTAGAATGAAGATACAATTACAGGCCTTTGTTCAGTTGATCTACATTCTTAAAACGCCCAGCTTGCCAAGTTGACAGTTTTTGTACATATGGGTTTACTGTACTGCAGGGGCTTTCCTGAAGCAGTTTACTTTTACTGCATTGTCTCTGAACGAGGCATTTTATTAACATGTAGAAGTCTAGTACACTGCCAGAACTGTTTCTGTGTCGCACTCCCAATCTGAGCTGAGAAAGTAACACACCCTCAAGTTCCCTCAACGTTAAATCGAAGACGGCCCTTGCGTTTCATTCTCTCCCTCGACAGGTGTATTTTCAGAGTTCGGCAATCTGTGTGGGATTCGTGTATAAAGGGAGGACACAGATGATTGAAGAATTCAAAAAATATGTAAAAAAAGGACAGAATCTGGACTAGTATAAGTCTAGAATGAGGGTCTAACATCTGCCCCCCCCCAAAAAAAAATAAAATAAAATAAAAAATAAAAAAAAATAAAAAATAAATAAATAAAATTAACAAAATTTAAAAAATGACATAAATTGGTATTGACAGGATAATTTGAGCAGTAATTGTATGAGACAACTAAGGAAATATTTTATAAAAGGATTTCCTTATTTTATAAGTTCAGGATTTTCTAACGGAAGGAGTAGGGGAGGGAGAGGGGGGTAAATGGTCTAAAATACAACAAATTGGGACAGAAGATTACCATGTTACCATGAGTGTTTATTATGACAGTGTTCTTTAAAACAATGAAAAAATTTGCTTTTCGTTATCAGGTGTGAGACAGCCTCTGCTACCGGTAATTTCGGATAGTCGAGTACAACAGCTTGATGACAATTTATCTTCACAAGCGGAGCGGGGAACTCCTCTGGATTCATCCGAAAGTGACAGTTCTACAAGTAAGTGTGGCCCTTGTAACTATGCCAACGATTCTGGTAAAAAACAAAGTGTCGCTGAAAGAGAGACATTGGACCAGGGGCTTTCACATCATGTTTACGGACAGATGGATACAGAAAGAACAAAAGAATGTGACGAGAAGTGTGAAGAGACTTTAATTGAAGGCATTGGACAATCTTCCCAGTTTGGAGGAACAGAGGAAAATCTTGCCAAGCCCCTGTTTACCCTCGTTGCAGGAGAGCCGTACATCAGCCAGTGTCGAATTTTGTAACAAAGAATTTTCCAATGTATTGGACGTTGAGTCACACACTTGTCTCATGAGACCCACACGAGAAATGATTTTTAAATGTTCTTTGTGTAACAAGAAATTTACCCAAAGTACTCATCTTTTGAGACACGCGACTGACGCGAGAAACCACAAAGGAATGAAGTCGTTGTACCAGTGTAGTCTCTGTAACCAAAGATTTTTCTATTTGAGCTCTCTATTGAAACATGTGAAACTTCACTCCCAAAGATATCCTTGTCTTGTATGTGATTTAAGATTTTCCTCTGAGAAGCGTTTGTCGATGCATAGTTGGTCCCACAGAAAAGATGAACCCTGTGAGTGTGCTGTTTGCAAGAAAACATTCCCCGATGCGATGAGTCTGGCATACCACACAAGAACCCATGTAGGAAGAAATCCATACCAGTATTCAGCTTGCGATTTAAGATTTTCTGATGAGAAAAGGCCAACTAGAGCTACTCGATACGAGAGAAATCGGACAGGAAAAAATCTTTTTGAGTGCCATATTTGCAACAAAATATATCTGTATGAGAGGGCGTTGACATCACATATGGAAACTCATACCATTAAAAAACTTCTGTGTTCGAGTTGTGGCGAATTGTTTCACGACAACTTTGATTTGTCATTGCATATGAGAAGTTCCCACACAGGGGAAAAGCCCTATCAATGTTCTGTTTGTAGTGAAAGATTTTCCAAGGCAAATAGTCTTTTAATCCACATGAAAAGCCACCCAGCAGAAAACCCTACCAATGTTTGGTTTGTACCGTAACAGGGTGTGGTTTGTATCGCAACAGGGTGTGGTTTGTACCGCAACAGGGTGTGGTTTGTACCGCAACAGGGTGTGGTTTGTACCGCAACAGGGTGTGGTTTGTACCGTTACAGGGTGGGGTTTGTACCGCAACAGGGTGTGGTTCGTACCGCAACAGGGTGTGGTTCGTACCGCAACAGGGTGTGGTTTGTACCGCAACAGGGTGTGGTTTGTACCGTTACAGGGTGGGGTTTGTACCGCAACAGGGTGGGGTTTGTACCTTTACAGGGTGTGGATCGTACCGCAACATGGTGTGGTTTGTATCGTAACAGGGTGTGGTTCGTACCGTTACAGGGTGGGGTTTGTACCGTAACAGGGTGGGGTTTGTACCGCAACAGGGTGGGGTTTGTACCGTAACAGGGTGTGGTTTGTACCGTTACAGGGTGGGGTTTGTACCGTTACAGGGTGGGGTTTGTACCGTAACAGGGTGTGGTTCGTACCGCAACAGGGTGGGGTTTGTACCGTAACAGGGTGTGGTTTGTACCGTTACAGGGTGTGGTTTGTACCGTTACAGGGTGGGGTTTGTACCGTAACAGGGTGTGGTTTGTACCGCAACAGGGTGTGGTTTTTACCGTAACATGGTGTGGTGTTCTTCTACAGTAGGTTCTCACATGCGCTGTGTACTTAATTGTGTCTACCGGTAATCTAAAAAAGAAAATCAATTCATGTTTTTCTCCTTAAGTGCCATCTCCCTAGGGGCACTACTAAAAATGTGTCGTGAATAGCTTAATAATAAAGGTACTCTGAAGAGAAAAGACCCACCTTAGTCATGCATTTTAGGCATAATGTGTTGGAGCAAATGGGAAAGCTGCCTGGCTCTATATCACAGCGACATCACCAATTTGAAGTTTCCAGACATTTAGTTTAATATTACAACCTTCAAGTTTTTCAATAAATAACATGATGACATTTATGTTTCCAGATAGACATAATGCATACCGGTAATAAGATAGCATTAACAGTAGATTTTTATGATTAATTGTTAGTTTATTTTTATGTTACAGGGCATAGGTCGATTATAATAAAAGTGTCAGACAAGAATATATTGTGTGTATGTGTGAGTGTGTGAGTGGAAAGTGGGGTACAGATTTAATTTGTACAACAAGATGAGAACAAAATTTCAAACATGTTTATGAGAACAGTTTTATGCATATAAAGTTTTATCAAGTTTTGTTAAATTTTAAGTACCCGGTATGTGAATTTTTTTCTTCCACGATTTATTTTCTTGAGAATGTGACATATTAAAACTTGCATCTAATAGTAAACAAAGGACCTAATTTAACCAGTCCACCTTTCTTGAGTTAAAAACAAAATAAAAATACGAGGGGTATGAATAATTTTGTTGTTAAATGTATATATAGAGAGAGAGAGAGAGAGAGAGAGGGCTCAGTATTTCCCAGGTTTTGTTTGTAAACTAATCTGTTATTAATTCCTCCATGTTGGGTAATATTTATATTTTTCTACCCGTTTTTTTTATCTATTATATGATGGTATGCTTACTGTCAAGTGTCATTCACGACATAAATTTATTCCAATGTTCAATAAGGAAAAATGATGACCTTTGACTTTTTTACGTTCAAAGTCTGCTCTATTTAGAAAGTTATAGTCATGCGATTGCACGCTTTGTGTGAAAGAAATGGTAATAGTGTTAGAATGGAAAATGTTGATTGTTTAGCACATATTGTAGACCCTTTTGATTTGAGGTTTGGAATCTTAAAAACAATTGGCCCAGTCTTGCTGAAAAAGCAAAGCAACTATAGACATGATTATGTTTATGGGACTACACAAACATGGGGCATGAAAGTGTGGTCCACAAACTTCAAAGCCTGTCTGCACTAGTTTGGCCAGAGGGATTAGACCTCCCTGCAAGGTCACCTACAGGTGGTTATCTCATCAAATCAGCTCTCAATTAACATAAGAAAGAGAGGATCATGGGGGAACAACAGGCACCGATCAGGCATTGTTTGCTATATAGAGGGCGCAAGTAGCTACAAAATAAGTAGAGCAGTAGGGCTTTAAGTATTACATTTGTAGAGTCATCTTTCTCAAGGGACAATTATGTACCAGTATTTGATACTCTTCCACACCAAAATGAAAAGACTGAAGAAGCACGCAATAAGTTTTCACTTTTGCCAGAACTCGACCTGCTCTGTAAGTAAGTGTAATTAGCGTACTTTATTTCAAAGTGAGTGAGCAGCAGTATTAGAATACTAGTAGAGGCTGAAAGATGGGAACAGAGTGTCAAGTTGATAAGAGCTAGAGAAGGGGAAAGGATGCGATCGAGGTAAGATATAGAGGGAGCGAGATAGATCGAGGGGGGGGGGGGGGTTGGGGGGAGATAGAGAAAAAGGAGGTCTTGCATGTGGAGAGACCGAAGACATGTTGAGATAGAAAGGGGACTAGGGAGGGTGTTTCACAAAGATCCCAAGTTGAATTTATCTCTAAGTTGGACTTAACAATTATGGAAAGCTGTAGGCCTAAGCATCTTTACAAATATTTGGTAAAAGTTATTTTAAAAGGCATGAAATGTTAATTCAAATCATTCATATTTTCTATTATCATGGGAGATTTCATGTCCTTGATGTGCAATTTATAAAAAGTCTTAAACACTTGAATTTTATATTTGAATATATTCTATTTTAAGGTTACAAATGGCTCTCCATAATACTTAAGTCAAACTTATTTTTTTTCCTTCATTTTTGACCCCGGGAATTCGTAAATTGAGCAGACCGTTTTTTCGCTCAGTGGGGGGGGGGGGGGGGGGGGGGGGGGTAGTGTGGGTGCTAACTACAACTAATTATATAAAATAACATTTATAAAATTAAAAAAATAATATATATTTTTTTTTAAGCCAGGGCCGGGGGGGGTCGCCCCCCCCCCCCCCCCCCGCTCCTCCTCGTGGATCCGCGCCTGAGTCAGTGAGTGGAGATGAGATAAGAAGGGGGTGAAGGAGCTACAGTCGAGATGGGGGGGGGTATGGGGTGAAGGAGCTATAGTCGAGATGGGGTAGGGGGTGAAGTGATTGAGATAAAGATAAGTGTTTACTTATGTACCGAGAGGGGGGAGGATCGATATTCCATTTCATTGTCATCAGTGACAAATAGCTATTGAAATCTTTGCTTCTGATTGTTAGCAGCAGATTTGTCATTGATTTTGTTTTCATTGAAAAAAGGCTTTGAGAAACGGGCCCCTGATTGGTGGGGGGGGGGGGGGGAGTAGATGTGATTTTGCACCAATTTCACCGCCCAGGCGCGCGGACCAACATTTTCATAAACTGACATATCCGATTTTCTAGCTAGATCCGGCAAGCTTGCTCTAGTCTGCAGGCAAAGACCCTAATTTGACACTTAATCAAAAAATCATTGTGCCTTGAGAGAAGTCTAGCCCAGCTTCCTACTGGTTAAGGTTGTGTCAATGTGTCAGGAGCAGCTACAGTACATGGCCTATGGTAGTCTTATAGTGCAGACTCACTTTTACGACTGACCAGGGTTTGTGCTTGCAGACTATAAGCTTGCTCAGCATGCAGCGCGCGCGCGCTATCTGAAAAAAAAACAAAAGCCGCTAGACCATGTGACTATCTGACTTTGTTTACAACAATAGGAGTACAGTACAGTTTCAGGAAGTCGTAAAAAAAAATCAAAGAAAATAACTCTGACTACGCTTCATACGTTCGTGTGTCAGTAGCTATAATCACTGAAGGAGTCTAAATTTGTTTCATCTTTACAGGAAACTCAGCCGCAGATTTCCCTAGAAATATAAGCCCGTCATTATCATATTCCTTCGTCATGATTCCATCGACGGCGATGGAGCTAACGTCAGGCCGCTAGTTCTCCGGCCGGAGCTCAGCGAGGAGCAGCTACATGTAGCTGTCACTTGTTTCTGCCCCTGAGCTGAACTAACTGTGATGCTGATGTATGTGCATGATGATCTGATGATAAAAAAACTAGTAGGTCTACAGCCTAAAAGCTAAAGATACGCAGTACCGTGCGTGCTACACAATTTGGGCTGAAATATCAGGATTAGGCAAGTTTCTTTTGTTATGTTTATCTTGCTTCTTTGTTATTCTAAATCTAGAAGTCTAAAGACAAGTTGGCCAAAATTTGAATACAAAATTATTTGTACTTTAGTACTTTAGGAGCAACGTCTTAACCCTACAAGGCCGGGGGGGGGGGGGGTGTTATTTTTTTCGGCGGCACAGATTGGGGTTAGGTGCGTGTTGAGCCTATGGAAAAGTTTAGGGTTAGGGTTAGGTCTAAATCAATACCTCTTTTTTTTTTAAAGTTATGGCCCCCCCCCCCCCCCCCCCTCCACAATTTTCATGATTGGTCGGGAACGCATATGGAAGGCACCCCGCCGCTCGTTGACTTTTTCTTTCTTGCTCATCTTGTAAAAGAATTTTTTTGGAAATCAGACCTACAGTTCGTAGGTCATGTGACCTTTTGTCTTTCCATGTCAGCCCGAAAATCGCTCATTTTCGTGATTTGTGTACAAAACATATATGGAAATGTAATTTTTCCTAAAAATAGATCAAACATTAGTTATTGGGTCTTGTTTAAAGTTTGAATTGTAGTTTAAAATGAAATAAAACAACAAAAACAAGAGATAACATAAGGAATAAACTGGTTCTTCCAAATTTGTTGTTGTATTATTATTCCAAATAGTCTAACGAATGTATGTAGTGAAAAAGAATGCTTAAATATGAATAATATATGATTTATGGGTAAAAATGTGATTCATGACTTACCGTAATTAAGTGTATAAACCGCCCTCATGTATTAACCGCACCCCTCTTTTTCGCCTTAAAAAATAAAAAAAAACTTTTTTAAATTTTTTTTTGCCGACTCTGTCGGCAGCAAGCCAGGTCCGTGTTAAAAAACCCACCCGGGAAGGTCTTTCATTTAACTGCGAGGTGCAGCTGAATGTGTAAGATCATTAATGTATATCAAAAAACAGTAGAGGACCTAGGATAGAACCTTGTGGTACGCCGTGTAATAGAAGAAAAATTGAAGGAATTATTATTATAAACTACATTCCGGGTACCGGTACTCTTATTTTGTGCTTTGGTTTGAATTGTTCATCGTTGCGGTATAATTCCTTTACAGGAATTGAGATCTATCAGAAAGATTACTTTCAAACCAAGATGAAAGACAAATTTGAGTGTTGTTCTAGTTTCCGAGTGGTGAGTCAACATACCGATTACTGAGCTGGGAGACATTACCAGGCATAGCGCCAGGTGGAGGGGGAATAAATCGAAACTTTAAAAAAAAAAGTGTGGTTTATACACCATTGATTACGGTACAATACAATACAATAAGTACATGAATTAAAACCTTGGACACCATCTGATCTGAATTGCTATGTCATGATTGCTACAAAACCTTATCACTATTCAATACATTAATACATTTTTAAAAAGGTGTTACAAGTGAATGGAAGCATATAAAACGTAAAATTTAAAACGTAAGATGTAAGCAGACAATGAGATTCCGGACCATTCAACAGGTAGATAATTAAGACAAATGGGAAAGTGTAAATGGTATTTCATTTCATTCAAGCATTCAACAGGTCTATTAAGAATGGAATTGAGCTATTTCAATAGCGGTTTGCTTTACAATGCATAAAAAGCTATCCTTCCGGCAAATACATGTTTTGAAATAGTTATCTTAATCGATGGGGCATACTCGTACAAGATTTATTCTGTATCAGGACAACTACCCCTGAGGACAACCACCCCCTCTCTTTCTCTCTCTCTGTTCACTAAAGAGGAAGTCCACCCTGATAATATGTGGGTAATTATGTTACTTTTATCAAAAGCAGACTTGTTTTTCGGGAGGTAAATGTCCTCGGGGAGGGGGGAGGGGGTGGTTGTCCTTGGGGGGAAATTTCAGAGGGGTAATGTCCTGCTGGTAATTTTCTAGGGGGTGATTGCCCAGGGGGTAATTGTCCTAGAACCGATTTATTCTAATTTTTGATATCTCAATAACTTTGTTCGCAATCTCTTTTACAGAATCATGGAAAATGAGAAGATCAACATGAAGGTGATTAAGATAGAGATCATAGCACTACCGCCCTCATCAGAGGAACTAGGACTCCAGCCTGGAGATGGCTTGGCACATGGCTGCAGAGTGGACAGTGAAGCTGAAGAGGTTTGTGACGAGATCAACCAGGGAGAAGAGATACACAGAGGATACCCTACTGATTCTGTGAAAGTAGAATGTTCACAAGATGGTTGGACAGGGGCTGATGATGCCATAGAGACACAGAAGGCACAACCAACAGAAGAAGCAGATGGGAAAACTATCAAATTCATTAAAATAAAAGAAGAACCCTTGGATATTGACGACACACGGTACACAGAAGACGAGGGTACTAGACCCAAGACAAGAAGCAAATCCAAGGTACCAGAAAGAACTCTGGAGTCAAGCCTTTTCACTGTTCACTTTGTGACAAGAGATTTTCATCCAAAGGCAATCTTAACAAGCATCTGAGAATGATGCATTGTCAGTGTTCTATCTGTAACCAAACATTTTCCAATGACGAGACTCTGTCAAGACATGTACAAACCCACAGTAAACCCAAACAATATGAGTGTACTCATTGTAAGAATATATTTACCAGTAGAGGTAGTCTTTATAGGCATTTGAGAATCATACATTGTAAGTGTTCTGCTTGTAACAAAGTGTTTTCCTCTGAAGATATTCTTGCAAGACATATACAAACGCACCGTAAACCAAAATCATATCCGTGCACTCTTTGTTTGAATAGCTTTACCATTAGATGTAATCTTATTAGGCATTTGAGAATCATACATTGTAAGTGTTACTGTTCTGCTTGTAACAAAGTGTTTTCCTCTGAAGATATTCTTGCAAGACATATAAAAATGCACCATAAATCAAAATCAAATCCGTGCACTCTTTGTTTGAATAGATTTAGCAGCAAAGGTAATCTAAAAAAGCATTTGAGAATCATACATTGTCAGTGTTCTGCTTGTAACAAAGTGTTTTCCTCTGAAGATATTCTTGCAAGACATATACAAACGCACCATAAACCAAAATCATATCCGTGCACTCTTTGTTTGAATAGCTTTATAAGCAAAGGTAATCTAAAAAAGCATTTGAGAATCATACATTGTAAGTGTTCTGCTTGTAACAAAGTGTTTTCCTCTGAAGATATTCTTGCAAGACATATACAAACGCACCGTAAACCAAAATCATATCCGTGCACTCTTTGTTTAAAAAGCTTTATCAGCAAAGGTAATCTAAAACAGCATTTGAAAAACATACATTGTCAGTGTTCTGCTTGTAACAAAGTATTTTCCTCTGAAGATATTCTTGCAAGACATATGAGAACGCACCATGGACGAAAAGCCTATGGTGAAAGTCCCCTTCGCAAGCCGAGTTAGGAACCCAGTCGGATATATCTGTGAATAAGAGATTTCTAAGTGAGAATGGCTCTGGTCACTTAGCAAAGCATGTAAGTTCTGTTCAAGAACAATGTGGTAAGGAGAGGGATAAAGGGGAATCTGCAAGTTCTCAACAAAAGCATGGAGAAATTAATACAGACATCAAAAAGGAATGTGATGAGAAATGTGAAATTGCATCTATTCAAGATATTGGTCAGTCTTCCTTTCATGCTACAACACAGAGTTCTCAATATGAACCTCAAGGAAACCTTGCTGGAGAAAAGCTCTTTCCGTGTAGTGTTTGTAACAAAGAATCCTCCAACAGAGGAAACCTCAACAAGCATTTGAAAATGATGCACCGTCAGTGCCCTGTATGCAACCTAAAGTTTTCTCACAAAGACGTCCTTATAAGACACATGAAAACCCATCAACAAGACAAACCCTTCCAATGTGGTCTTTGTAACAAAGTGTACACTACCACAACTAATCTCAATAAACATATGAAACGTGCCCACCCTGGAGAAGAAAAGCCTATATATCTGTGTTCTTATTGTAGCGAACCTTTTTCCAATGGAGACACTCTCTCAAGACATGTAAGGAGGCACCACGAAGGCAAATGCTATCAATGTTCTATTTGTAGAAGAGCGTTTTCAAGCAAAAACTGTCTCGACATACATATGAGAACCCATTCAGGAGAAAAACCATATCAATGTATGACCTGTATGAAGGAGTTTTCTCATACGAGCGGCCTCACTGTACACATAAGAAGCCACACAGGAGAAAAGCCTTACAAATGTACAAATTGTAACAAGGATTTTACCACTTGGAATAGCCTTGCTGCACATAAGAATGCACACATGGGTGAAAAGCCATATCGGTGTACAATTTGTAGCAAGGAGTTTAGCTACAAGAACAGTCTGTCTACACACATAAGATCTCATAAGGGAGGAGAGCAGCATCAGTGTTCTGTGTGTGGTATAGTTTGTGCAAATGCAACTAGCCTGTCGGTACATGGTATGAGAAGACACACGGGAGAAAAACCTCATGTGTGTTCTGTTTGTAGCATGAGATTCTTTGCAAAGGGGGATCTGAAATTGCATATGAGAACCCACACGGGGGAAAGACCCTATGCATGTTCCTTTTGCAGCAAGAGCTATGTCACAAGGAACCAGCTGAAGTTGCATGCAAGAATCCATTGGGGTGAAAAACCATTTCAATGTTCTGTTTGTAGCAAACGCTTTCATCGGAAAGGAACTCTTACAGAACATATGAAAGTCCACTCAAGTGTAAAGCCATATCACTGTTCTGTTTGTGCTAGAGGTTTTGCAAGAAGTAATGACCTTAAACGTCATATGAAATCGCACGATTCAGAAAAAAAATCCCACGTATGTCCCGTTTGCAGCCGAGTATTGACAAGACAGTGCGATTACAATCGTCATATACGAATCCACACATAGTACAGATAATTATTAGCAATAGTTACGGTATTGTATGCATGTGTAATACCCCCTTCACATACACAGATTTTTCTCACGAGTCCTTATGGATCGCCATCTCGTAGTCAATCGCAAGCATCCGTAAATAACTCGCTGGTATCCGTAAATAACTCGTCACAACTCACAACAACTCGTAGACACTCTTAAGGATCCGTGAAAGGAGAGGCAAATTTTTTGACATGTCAAAAATCTTCTTACGATTGTCCACGGATTGATTTGTCCGTAAATAGCTCGTAACAATACATAACCATCCGTTAACTGCTCGCAAGAATCCGTAAATGACTCATAGCAGTTTTTTGTAACGATTCGTTACGGTTAGTTTTGTTTTGTTTACGATTTGTTTACGGATTATTGCGAGCAGTTTACGGATGGTAACGTGTGATTACGTGTTCTTTACAATTTTATTTGGGTCATTTTACGATGGCTTTACGGATTGATACAGGTTATTACCAGTATTTTACGTGTAGTTACGAGTACTTTACGAATAAATACCTACACATTACGTATGCTTACAAACTGTTATCGATTTGGGGAAGGTATAAAAGCTGCAAATTAGAAAAACTTAATTTTCAGTCGTTATTTTTTGGCTAAAATTCGTAAGGACTCGTAAATACTCGGAACAACTTGTAATAATCCGTAATAAATCGCAAACAGCTTGTAATAACTCTTAAACCGGACGTAAAAGTGGCCAAATCGTATGGATCCTTTAAAGATCTGTGAGTATGTGCGATCCGTAAGGACTCGTAAGAAATATCTGTGTATGTGAAGGGGGTATAAGTTATGCATACGTAACTTTTTGTTTTGTGCGTGTATTTACATGTTCATAGATAAAATTAACAGATTTATGCCATGTAACAATTAAGTGATGTGGAAAATCTCATTTGATATAGAGGTGCTTTATATGATGTGGGGATTTTGCAATAGATAGAGAACTTTACATGTACATGAATTAGGTAATTTTCTCATCTTGCTTTTAAACTATTAGATTACAGCTTGAAATCTCTGGATTTCTTTGTTTCTCATAATATTCAAAATTGATTTCAAGCATACATTTGTACGTAGTACATGTAGTTAAATGTACATGTATACAAATCAAAACTTTATAACAAAAAAATATAATAACAAAAACAATCAGATCCCTGGTCAAGTATATTTCACTGAGGCCCAAGACCTTAGTTGAAATAATGGCACGAGAGAGATCCTAAATTTGGATGTGAATGGAACAACGATATGCATGAAATATTTGTGACATATGAGACTGATGGTGTTTGACTGTTCATGATCTTATGCCTTGCTTATTTGGAGTCCGGGGGGGGGGGGGGGGGGGGGGGGCCTTCCATAACATTTATGTTGCCTTTGCGTCAAATGTGCTCATTTAAGACAATGGAGACGATGGGTGCCAGTGGGCAAGCAAGACTGATGGTTACATCTTTTTTATGCTCTGTACCATGCCAAAAATATAGCAAAATATTGAGTGCCGCATAAAACCTTTTTCAGCTAATTGCTAACAAATACCTAATCTTATATATTTGAAAGTCTCGCTTATTGAGATGCAAAAGTCCTGGAGACTTAATTCTCATACATGTTGAGGGCAATTAAACAGTTATTAGTTCCATCATAATCTGCCATATCTTATATCAAACATGAATATTCAAATAAAATATGTATGTATTTGTATATCCATATCAAGTTCAAGGGACTATTCATGTCTGATACATGACTTAAATTTTGGACCATTATAGTTGGTTTCTTTACTATACTTTTCCTTTTTTTTTTTTTACTGAGCCAACTAATTTCTTCATGTACGGTACACCACCAGCCTCTTCCATTAAAATATATACCGCCATGTGCTGATTTGCTGAAAGAAAAAAATGACTGGAGTTTTCATTTTTGTTTTCAGTAGGCATATATTGTCTGTTGATTGATAAGGTGACATCAGAATCAGAATGTTTTCATATTTTCCTGCTTCTGTTTTTTCATCATTATAATTTATCTTGGGATTTGATATTTTGTCTTTCACTTTATGTACAATACAGGTATCAATATTTCTGCCTAGCCTCACGAGTTCTGTCAAATTGCTTTCTATTGATTTTTTACTCTCAATTCATGTTTGTTATATTGTTGTATTATGTGACTTGATTTGCCAAATAAAATAATAATAATAATACTATTACATTAACATCCTAGTACTGGATGCGTTTGTTTTGTATTTTATTTTTCTTATACACCGTTCTCAGATAGTGCTTAGAAATTTTATAAATTTTGTTGGATTTCAACTAGAATATATTTTGTATGATAGATATTCTGTAAAAATTAATTTGTGCATGTCTGTTTTGTAATAGGCAATTTAATCCATTTGGATGTGTGTGTGTTTTTAGAGAGAGAGAGAGAGAGCAAGAGAGCAGGGAGAGAGAATTTAGAAGTGAGATGGAGAGAAGAGGGGGGGGGGGGTGAGATGAGAGGGAGAGGGGACTGACGTGTAGAAGAGGGAACAAGTGGCAGAGAGAAAGAAGGGGGTAGAAGTGTGTGTAAAGAGAGAGTGAGAGATAGAAAGGGATAATTGAATGATAAGGGATTATAGAGAAAGGGGAAGGGAATATGCAGAAAACTACAAAGCGGTCTAAAAGAAGACAAAAGTTTCAAATTCTGGAAAAGTTGCTCCCCCCCCCCCCCTCTCTCTCTTCTTAATCTCTCTCCATATGAAACAATGTACGTTCACATCTACGTCCCTTACTTTGTTCTATCTGTACATCTATTTATCCCATCTATCTCTTCTTTTGAGGAGCCCCTTTCTTCTTATCTTCTCTCTCCTACATCTCTCAACTTCACTTTAATCTTGTCTTGGGTGTAAATACGTGTACACCCGTCTTTCTCTCTTCTTTTACCATCACTCTTACTTTGTGTCTTTCACTCTCTGTCTCTGTCTCTCTCCCTCTATCTGTCTGTTTCTCTCTCTATCTCTGTCTCTATTTCTTTAGTCTCTTTCTCTCTTTTGTCCGTCTCTCTCTCTCTCTCTCCGTATCCCTCCCTCTCTCTATCCCTTTTTTGTCTCTCTCTCTCTCTATCTGTCTGAGTTTGTCTCTCTCTTTCTCTCTCTCTTCATCTTTATCTGTCTCTCTATCTATCTGTCCGTCTCAGTTTGTCTCTCTATCTCTCTCTCTCTCTCTCTCTTCATCTCTGTTTCTCTCTCTCTCTCTCTCTGTCCTTTGATCTTAATTTACCTGATGTGTCAATGGTAGGCCATGCAATGGTGGGTTGTCAATGGTAGGCCATGCAATGGTGGGTTGTGAATGGTAGGCCAATGGTGAATGGTATGTGAATGGTATGCCAATGGTGAATGGTAGATGATTAATGGTACAAAATTTGCATATTTCATATTCATATTTCAATAATGTAAATTGTACCATTCATCTACCATTGGTGATTATACAAATGAGCCTCCAAAAAATTATTATTAGGTTGAATGGTATTTCACTGGTAGATGAATGGTGCCCAATGGTACGTTGCGAGCGTAATCTCAATGGTATCCCAATGATATTTAAATGGTGTTTGTGAATGGTATCCGTATGATATTTTCAGTCGTATACTTCCGAATGGTATACCATTGAACATTTTTTTGTAAAAGAAAATACACGGTATCGTCTGCAAATAAAATATAACGCAAATTATGGGTTGAACATGACATGTGATTAATATAAATCTAAAACAAAAGGGGGCCGAGAATAGATCCTTAGGAATTCCGCAACCTATTGTTTTAACTTAGGATTCAGCTTCATTAATAATTGTTAATTGTTTACGATCAGATAAATAACTTGATAAAAGTTTTAAAGGTGTGCCCCTAATACTGTAATATTTCAATTTTTGTAAAAGAATAGAATGATTTAAAGGCTGCTTCAATTAACAATAACAGGCTGTTCATGTAAGCAAATGTAATGTACATCACAGAATTATATGAGTGGGACCACAGGCACAAAACAGCAGTTGCGGTAAAAGAGACACATATCAGATCCAAAATTACTCCAAATTGAAGAAAAAACTTAAGATCCATTTATTGTTCCTGAGGATTAGGGTATTGCAGTTTGGCAGCTTTGAAACGTTGATCATGAAGAAAAATTCGCGAAAAATAAAGCGAATCACAGAGCAAATTGTAGTTCAATAAAGTATAATAAGGGACACCTAGTTTTCACAAAGTCACTACCAGAGATACACCATTGACCATATAATTCCACCATTGAAACACCATTCACCATACACCATTGGCACACCATACCATTGACCATACAATTCCACCATTAAAACACCATTCATGAATACAGACGCCACCATTGAAACACCATTGACCATACAATTCCACCATTGAAACACCATTCACCATCATACACCATTGAAACACCATCCACCATTGGCACACAATTGAAATACCATTTAATTACCATTGACGCTACCATTCAAACACCATTGATTTACCATTATGTTTTTTTTTTTTGTAAGGGCATCAAAATCATCACCTCCACCACCACCACCACTTCTACTTCTATTCTGCTACTTGTCAAAGCCTGTTCAGCATCTATCCTGGCTGTGTATTAAAAGCTGTGCTATTGATTCTCAACCTTTTAAACACTACTGTACAAAACTCAACTAATTTTACTCAAAATAGGTACTTTAGTGACGATTGATGACACCTAAATAGCAGTAAAATATAAAAATTGTCAACTTTCCGATGTTAGAAAGTATAATAAAAAAAATTCAAATTGTGAGTCCGTCAAACTTGCCGATCAGCCGCATCGGCAAGATTATGTGCATCTGTGTGTTATGAGTGTATTGACTATTCAAATGTGCTGCCTACAGTGCAGTGCTAGATATCAATACGCATTCGCATTGACTTTCTGCCTTTGCTGGAGTTCTCAGGATCAGAAAGTCGTAGAAATTGTTCATAGAAACAATTTCCCGGGCTGGGCAGTATTTATGCTTCATACGTACGTGTGTCAGTAGCTCACTGAAGGAGTCTAAATTTGTTTCATCTTTACAGGAAACTCAGCCGCAGATTTCCCTAGAAATATAATAAGCCTGTCATATTCCTTCGTCGTTCCATCGACGGCGATGGAGGTAACGTTAGGCCGCTAGTTCTCCGGCCGGAGCTCAGCGAGGAGCTGTCTCTTGTCTCTGCCACTGAGCTGAACTACCTGTGACTGATGCATGTGCATGATGATCTGATGATACAAAACAAAACTAGTAAAGCCTAAAAGCTAAAGATACGCAGTACGTGCTACACAATTTTGATTCATGGGCTGAAATATCAGGATTAGGTAAGTTTCTTTTTGTTATCAATATCAGACAGTTATGTTTATCTAAATCCCATTTGATTTGCATATCAGGTATGCAGGCCCAAAAAATGAAATGGTTAAATTCCAACAGCATTTGAAAGATAATACTAAATAAAAATTCCCTCAATACAAGGGGGCTTGAAAATGTCTTTAAGTGGGGAAATAACAACTAATAGTTGTTGAATCGATGTAAGAGCTATAGAGCCACTAAGTCATAGTCTGATTTTCAGACCATTGTACCGAAAGGTCGTACGTTTTATGCTGCCCAAAGATTCAATCAGTTTAATTTTGGCCATTACAAGAAGTGGGTTATTGATGAAGACAAATGCTCATGTTCCTTTATAGCTCATTTTATGCATGTTGAATTACTAAAGAAGAAGAAAAGCCAGTCACTCACTCAATAGTGTCTATAAAGTGAAGTCTAGCAAGTAAACAGGTTTCCTTGCATACACGTAGTGTGAATATTAGGCCACTGCTAACGTTTAAATTTCACAGATAGGACATACATGATATATTCGTTATTCCTGCAAAGTTCTACAGAATTTGCTGCAAAAGGGACATATTGGTAGTATCTTTAAGCCAAAATTTGAATACAAATTTATTTGTACTTAAAGGGAAAGTCCACCCCCAAAATAAGTTTGTTCCGATAGAGGCAGAATAATAAGAAAATCAGGTGAGTGAAAGTTTGAGCAAATTCTGAAAGAAAATAAGAAAGTTATGAATTATTGAAGTTGTGATCAATCAAATACAAATTGGCAACTCTATGACTTATTATACGAGCTCTCCTTCATTTGCTTTGTGCATAATATTCCATAAAATCATGTTTTCTTCGTTATTGATGACGGAATAAATATTTGTTCCTTGCAGGGGGAGTATAGAAACATATTTGCAATTATTATATTTAGGGTGCATGTATGGTTAAAATTTTTCTTGAGGGAAAATGAAAATTTTAGATTTTTTTAGTACTGAGCAAATGGAAGTTGAGCTCGCATGATACGTCATAGAGTTGCCAATTTGTGTTTGATTGATCACAACTTCAAAAATCCTAACTTCCTTATTTTTAATCGGAATTTGCTCAAACTTTCACTGACTTGTTTCTCTCATTTTTCTACTCCTATTAAAACTAACTTAATTTCAGGGTGGACTTTCCCTTTAAGGAGCAACGTCTTAAGTCTAAATTAGAAATAGAATGTTCTTTATCTTTGTATTTTATTACACTATAATACATTGGCAATATAAATAATATATACAAATGTGGTTTGAACCCATGGCTTGGGAGCTATCCTTCCGGCAAATGAATGAAAAGAACTGGATAGAGACCTGGCTAACTACACGAACACAACAAGTACCAGGTAGTTGTTGATGGAGCAGCATCGGAAACCATAGATGTTGAATCAGGGGTGCCACAGGGGACTGTTTTAGGGCCACTGATGTTCCTTACATCAATGATATTGGAGAGGACATTAGCTCAACCATCAAGCTCTTTGCCGATGATTGCCTCCTGTTCTGCAGAAAGATCGACAAAGATGAGGATGCCCAGGATCTACAGAAAGACCTTCAAAAGCTGCACAAATGGACTGATCGAAAAGTGGCAGATGCTATTCAATGCGAAGAAGTGCTACAGCATGAGAATTCATTGCAAGCAGAAACCCATCATCCATAACTAATTAACTACACCATGGGAGATGAGGTGCTCGCCGCTGTTTCCAGCCAGCCCTACTTGGGGATGGAGATCCATGAAAGACTTACATGTAGCTGGAAACATCACATCAAGGCAGTCGCAGCCAAAGCCAACAGAACAATTGGATTCATTCGAAGAAACCTCAGCCTATGCTCATCTGCCATGAAGAAACAGGCATAAACAACACTAGTCAGATCACAACTAGAATATGGGATCTATATTGGCAAAACCTGATAGAATAGCCTTGAGAAAGTTCAGAGGAGGGGGATACGCTTCATCACAGGGAATCACAGCCGGGAAGACAGCGTCACGGCTATGCAATTGGACATCGGACTCCCAACTTTACAAGAGCGACGACTGCAATCACGTCTAGCCATGATGTACAAGATCCTCCACCACCAGATAGCCATCCCTCTTCCAGATTACATCTCACAGAAAGGCAGAGCTACAAGAAGTCAACATCATCTTCGTTTCACCAGACTTGGTACATCCTCTGATTCTTACAAGTACAGCTTCTTTCCTCGCACCATGAAAGGCTGGGATGAGCTTCCTACAAATATCATTGAGCTGCCCACATTGAAGCAGTTCAAGGAAGCCATCAGCTGTGAATAGTCACAGCATCATCATTTTTACTTGCACCATAAACATGTATATAATTATGCAAAAATTCACACAAGCCGTCCACCGTCGGCAGAAGATCACCCTTGTCTAGATGCTGAACAGGCTTTGACAAGTAGCAGAATAGAAGTAGATGTCTTTGAAATAGTTATCTTAATTAATATAATGGTGCATACTCATACAGGATTATTCCGTATCAGGACAAAAATAAACCTCTGAGGACAACCACCCCCCCCCCCCCCAGGGAAATTACCCCCTAGGAAAATTACCCCCCCCCCCCCCCCCCCCCCCCCCCCCTCTCTCTCTGTTCATTAAAGGGGAAGTCCACCCTGAAAATATGTTAGTTTTAATAAAAATAGATTTTTTTTTTTAAAAGGGGGGTTAATGTCCTCTGGGGTTAATTTTCTGGGGGGTGATAGGCCAGGGGGTGATTGTCCTGAAAACGATTTATTCTAGAATTTTTGATATCTCAATAGCTTTGGTGTCTGTTTGCAATCTCTTTTACAGAATCATGGAAAATGAGAAGATCAACATGAAGGTGATTAAGATAGAGATCATAGCGCTACCGCCCTCATCAGAGGAACTAGGACTCCAGCCTGGAGATGGCTTGGCACATGGCTGCAGAGCGGACAGTGGAGCCGAAGAGGTTTGTGACGAGATCAACCAGGGAGAAGAGATACACAGAGGATACCCTACTGATTCTGTGAAAGTAGAATGTTCACAAGATGGTTGGACAGGGGCTGATGATGCCATAGAGACACAGAAGGCACAACCAACAGAAGAAGCAGATGGAAAAACTATCGCATTCATTAAAATAAAAGAAGAACCCTTTGATATTGACGACACATGGTTCATACATGTAGAAGATGAGGAAACTAGACCCCAGAAACGAAGCAAATCCAAGGGTATCAGAAAGAACTCTGGAGTCAAGCCTTTTCACTGTTCACTTTGTGACAAGAGATTTTCATCCAAAGGCAATCTTAACAAGCATCTGAGAATGATGCATTGTCAGTGTTCTATCTGTAACCAAACATTTTCCAATGACGAGACTCTGTCAAGACATGTACAAACCCACAGTAAGCCCAAACAATATGAGTGTACTCATTGTAAGAATATATTTACCAGTAGAGGTAGTCTTTATAGGCATTTGAGAATCATACATTGTAAGTGTTCTGCTTGTAACAAAGTGTTTTCCTCTGAAGATATTCTTGCAAGACATATACAAACGCACCGTAAACCAAAATCATATCCGTGCACTCTTTGTTTGAATAGCTTTACCATTAGATGTAATCTTATTAGGCATTTGAGAATCATACATTGTAAGTGTTACTGTTCTGCTTGTAACAAAGTGTTTTCCTCTGAAGATATTCTTGCAAGACATATACAAATGCACCATAAATCAAAATCAAATCCGTGCACTCTTTGTTTGAATAGATTTAGCAGCAAAGGTAATCTAAAAAAGCATTTGAGAATCATACATTGTCAGTGTTCTGCTTGTAACAAAGTGTTTTCCTCTGAAGATATTCTTGCAAGACATATACAAACGCACCATAAACCAAAATCATATCCGTGCACTCTTTGTTTGAATAGCTTTATAAGCAAAGGTAATCTAAAAAAGCATTTGAGAATCATACATTGTAAGTGTTCTGCTTGTAACAAAGTGTTTTCCTCTGAAGATATTCTTGCAAGACATATACAAACGCACCATAAACCAAAATCATATCCGTGCACTCTTTGTTTAAAAAGCTTTATCAGCAAAGGTAATCTAAAACAGCATTTGAAAAACATACATTGTCAGTGTTCTGCTTGTAACAAAGTATTTTCCTCTGAAGATATTCTTGCAAGACATATGAGAACGCACCATGGACGAAAAGCCTATGGTGAAAGTCCCCCTTCGCAAGCCGAGTTAGGAACCCAGTCGGATATATCTGTGAATAAGAGATTTCTAAGTGAGAATGGCTCTGGTCACTTAGCAAAGCATGTAAGTTCTGTTCAAGAACAATGTGGTAAGGAGAGGGATAAAGGGGAATCTGCAAGTTCTCAACAAAAGCATGGAGAAATTAATACAGACATAAAAAAGGAATGTGATGAGAAATGTGAAATTGCATCTATTCAAGATATTGGTCAGTCTTCCTTTCATGCTACAACACAGAGTTCTCAATATGAACCTCAAGGAAACCTTGCTGGAGAAAAGCTCTTTCCGTGTAGTGTTTGTAACAAAGAATCCTCCAACAGAGGAAACCTCAACAAGCATTTGAAAATGATGCACCGTCAGTGCCCTGTATGCAACCTAAAGTTTTCTCACAAAGACGTCCTTATAATACACATGAAAACCCATCAACAAGACAAACCCTTCCAATGTGGTCTTTGTAACAAAGTGTACACTACCACAACTAATCTCAATAAACATATGAAACGTGCCCACCCTGGAGAAGAAAAGCCTATATATCTGTGTTCTTATTGTAGCGAACCTTTTTCCAATGGAGACACTCTCTCAAGACATGTAAGGAGGCACCACGAAGGCAAATGCTATCAATGTTCTATTTGTAGAAGAGCGTTTTCAAGCAAAAACTGTCTCGACATACATATGAGAACCCATTCAGGAGAAAAACCATATCAATGTATGACCTGTATGAAGGAGTTTTCTCATACGAGCGGCCTCACTGTACACATAAGAAGCCACACAGGAGAAAAGCCTTACAAATGTACAAATTGTAACAAGGATTTTACCACTTGGAATAGCCTTGCTGCACATAAGAATGCACACATGGGTGAAAAGCCATATCGGTGTACAATTTGTAGCAAGGAGTTTAGCTACAAGAACAGTCTGTCTACACACATAAGATCTCATAAGGGAGGAGAGCAGCATCAGTGTTCTGTGTGTGGTATAGTTTGTGCAAATGCAACTAGCCTGTCGGTACATGGTATGAGAAGACACACGGGAGAAAAACCTCATGTGTGTTCTGTTTGTAGCATGAGATTCTTTGCAAAGGGGGATCTGAAATTGCATATGAGAACCCACACGGGGGAAAGACCCTATGCATGTTCCTTTTGCAGCAAGAGCTATGTCACAAGGAACCAGCTGAAGTTGCATGCAAGAATCCATTGGGGTGAAAAACCATTTCAATGTTCTGTTTGTAGCAAACGCTTTCATCGGAAAGGAACTCTTACAGAACATATGAAAGTCCACTCAAGTGTAAAGCCATATCACTGTTCTGTTTGTGCTAGAGGTTTTGCAAGAAGTAATGACCTTAAACGTCATATGAAATCGCACGATTCAGAAAAAAAATCCCACGTATGTCCCGTTTGCAGCCGAGTATTGACAAGACAGTGCGATTACAATCGTCATATACGAATCCACACATAGTACATATAATTATTAGCAATAGTTACGGTATTGTATGCATGTGTAATACCCCCTTCACATACACAGACTTTTCTCACGAGTCCTTATGGATCGCCATCTCGTAGTCAATCGCAAGCATCCGTAAATAACTCGCTGGTATCCGTAAATAACTCGTCACAACTCACAACAACTCGTAGACACTCTTAAGGATCCGTGAAAGGAGAGGCAAATTTTTTGACATGTCAAAAATCTTCTTACGATTGTCCACGGATTGATTTGTCCGTAAATAGCTCGTAACAATACATAACCATCCGTTAACTGCTCGCAAGAATCCGTAAATGACTCATAGCAGTTTTTTGTAACGATTTGTTACGGTTAGTTTTGTTTTGTTTACGATTTGTTTACGGATTATTGCGAGCAGTTTACGGATGGTAACGTGTGATTACGTGTTCTTTACAATTTTATTTGGGTCATTTTACGATGGCTTTACGGATTGATACAGGTTATTACCAGTATTTTACGTGTAGTTACGAGTACTTTACGAATAAATACCTACACATTACGTATGCTTACAAACTGTTATCGATTTGGGGAAGGTATAAAAGCTGCAAATTAGAAAAACTTAATTTTCAGTCGTTATTTTTTGGCTAAAATTCGTAAGGACTCATAAATACTCGTAACAACTTGTAATAATCCGTAATAAATCGCAAACAGCTCGTAATAACTCTTAAACCGGACGTAAAAGTGGCCAAATCGTATGGATCCTTTAAAGATCTGTGAGTATGTGCGATCCGTAAGGACTCGTAAGAAATATCTGTGTATGTGAAGGGGGTATAAGTTATGCATACGTAACTTTTTGTTTTGTGCGTGTATTTACATGTTCATAGATAAAATTAACAGATTTATGCCATGTAACAATTAAGTGATGTGGAAAATCTCATTTGATATAGAGGTGCTTTATATGATGTGGGGATTTTGCAATAGATAGAGAACTTTACATGTACATGAATTAGGTAATTTTCTCATCTTGCTTTTAAACTATTAGATTACAGCTTGAAATCTCTGGATTTCTTTCTTTCTCATAATATTCAAAATTGATTTCAAGCATACATTTGTACGTAGTACATGTAGTTAAATGTACATGTATACAAATCAAAACTTTATAACAAAAAAATATAATAACAAAAACAATCAGATCCCCTGGTCAAGTATATTTCACTGAGGCCCAAGACCTTAGTTGAAATAATGGCACGAGAGAGATCCTAAATTTGGATGTGAATGGAACAACGATATGCATGAAATATTTGTGACATATGAGACTGATGGTGTTTGACTGTTCATGATCTTATGCCTTGCTTATTTGGAGTCCGGGGGGGGGGGGGGGGCCTTCCATAACATTTATGTTGCCTTTGCGTCAAATGTGCTCATTTAAGACAATGGAGACGATGGGTGCCAGTGGGCAAGCAAGACTGATGGTTACATCTTTTTTATGCTCTGTACCATGCCAAAAATATAGCAAAATATTGAGTGCCGCATAAAACCTTTTTCAGCTAATTGCTAACAAATACCCAATCTTATATATTTGAAAGTCTCGCTTATTGGGATGCAAAAGTCCTGGAGACTTAATTCTCATACATGTTGAGGGCAATTAAACAGTTATTAGTTCCATCATAATCTGCCATATCTTATATCAAACATGAATATTCAAATAAAATATCATATGTATGTATTTGTATATCCATATCAAGTACAAGGGACTATTCATGTCTGATACATGACTTCAATTTTGGACCATTTTTTATAGTTGGTTTCTTTACTATACCTTTCCTTTTTTTTTTTACTGAGCCAACTAATTTTTTCATGTACGGTACACCACCAGCCTCTTCCATTAAAACATATACATGTGCTAATTTGCTGAAAGAACAAAATGACTGGAGTTTTCATTTTTGTTTTCAGTAGGCATATATTGTCTGTTGATTGATAAGGTGACATCAGAATCAGAATGTTTTCATATTTTCCCGCTTTTGTTTTTTTCATCATTATAATTTATCTTGGGATTTGATATTTTGTCTTTATTAGATCCTTCACTTTATGTACAATACAGGTATCAATATTTCTGCCTAGCCTCACGAGTTCTGTCAAATTGCTTTCTATTGATTTTTTACTCTCAATTCATGTTTGTTATATTGTTGTATTATGTGACTTGATTTGCCAAATAAAATAATAATAATAATACTATTACATTAACATCCTAGTACTGGATGCATTTGTTTTGTATTTTATTTTTCTTATACACCGTTCTCAGATAGTGCTTAGAAATTTTATAAATTTTGTTGGATTACAACTAGAATATATTTTGTATGATACATGTTCTGTAAAAATTAATTTGTGCATGTCTGTTTTGTAATAGGCAATTTAAAATAACAATATTCCATTTGGATGTGTGTGAGTGTGTTTAGAGAGAGAGAGAGAGCAAGAGAGCAGGGAGAGAGAATTTAGAAGTGAGATGGAGAGAAGGGGGGGGGGAGTGAGATGAGAGGGAGAGGGGACTGATGTGTAGGAGTGGGAACAAGTGGCAGAGAGAAAGAAGGGGGTATGTAAAGAGAGAGTGAGAGATAGAAAGGGATAATGGATTATAGAGAAAGGGAAAGGGAATATGCAGAAAACTACAAAACGGTCTAAAAGAAGTTTCAAATTCTAGAAAAGTTGCTCCCCCCCCCCCTCTCTCTCTCTTCTTAATCTCTCTCCATATGAAACAATGTACGTCCACATCTACGTCCCTTTCTTTCTTCTATCTGTACATCTATTTATCCCATCTATCTCTTCTTCTTTTGAGGAGCCCCTTTCTTCTTATCTTCTCTCTCCTACATCTCTCACCTTCACTTTGATCTTGTCTTGGGTGAAAACACGTCTACACCCGTCTTCCTCTCTTCTTTTACCATCACTCTTACTTTGTGTCTTTCACTCTGTCTCTCTCCCTCTATCTGTCTCTATCTATCTCTGTCTGTCTCTGTTTCTTTAGTCTGTCTCTGTCTCAGTTTGTCTCTCTCTCTCTTTCGTCCGTCTCTCTCTCTCTCTCTCTCTGTCCGTATCCCTCCCTCTCTCTCTCTCTCTCTCTCTATCCTTTTTTGTCTCTCTCTATCTGTCTGAGTTTGTCTCTCTCTTTCTCTCTCTTCATCTTTATCTATCTCTCTATCTATCTGTCCGTCTCAGTTTGTCTCTCTCTCTCTCTCTCTCTCTTCATCTCTGTTTCTCTCTCTCTCTCTCTCTCTGTCCTTTGATCTTAATTTAACTCATTTTGCTGGTAAATGATTTGTCAATGGTAGGCCATGCAATGGTGGGTTGTGAATGGTAGGCCAATGGTGAATGGTATGTGAATGGTATGCCAATGGTGAATGGTAGATGATTATGGTACAAAATTTGCATATATTTTCATATTCGAATTTCAATAATGTAAATTGTACCATTCATCTACCATTGGTGATTATGCAAATGAGCGTCCAAAAAATTATTATTAGGTTGAATGGTATTTCACTGGTAGATGAATGGTGCCCAATAGTACGTTGCGAGCGTAATCTCAATGGTATCCGAATGGTATTTAAATGGTGTTTAATTGTGAATGGTATCCGTATGATATTTTCAGTGGTACCTCCGAATGGTATACCATTGAACATTTTTTTGTAAAAAAAAATACACTGGTATCGTCTGCAAATAAAATATAACGCAAATTATGGGTTGAACATGACATGTCATTAATATAAATCTAAAACAAAATGGGGCCGAGAATAGATCCTTAGGAATTCCGCAACCTATTGTTTTAACATGGGATTCAGCTTCATTAATAATTAATTGTTTACGATCAGATAAATAATTTGATTAAAGTTTTAAAGGTGTGCCCCTAGCTAATACTGTAATATTTCAATTTGTGTAATAGAATAGAATGATTTATAGGCTGCTTTAATTAACAATAACTAGCTAGGCGCGCTGTTCAACTCTTCATGTAAGCAAATGTAATGTACATCACAGAGTTATATGAGTGGGACCACAGGCACAAAACAGCATAGTTACGGTAAAAGAGACACATATCAGATCCAAAATTACTCCATAAAATTGAAGAAAAAAACTTAAGATCCATCATTGTTCCTGAGGATTAGGGTATTGCAGTTTGGCAGCTTTGAAACGTTGATCATGAAGAAAAATTAGCGAAAAATAAAGCGAATCACAGAGCAAATTGTAGTTCAAAGTATAAAGGACACCTAGTTTTCACAAAGTCACTACCAGTGAAACACCATTGACCATATAATTCCACCATTGAAACGCCATTGACCATACACTTCCACCATTGAAACACCATTCACCACCATTGGCACACCAATGACCATACAATTCCACAATTGAAACACCATTCACCATACAGACGCCACCATTGAAACACCATTGACCATACAATTCCACCATTGACCATACAATTCCACCATTGAAACACCATTCACCATACAGACTCTACCATTGAAACACCATTCACCATCATACACCATTGAAACACCATTCACCATACAGAATCCACCATTGGCACACAATATTATTGAAATACCATTTACCATTGACGCTACCATTCAAACACCATTGATTTACCATTATGTTTTTTTTTATAAGGGCATCACAATCATCACCTCCACCACCATCACCACTTCTACTTCTATTCTGCTACTTGTCAAAGCCTGTTCAGCATCTATCCTGGCTGTGTATTAAAAGCTGTGCTATTGATTCTCAACCTTTTAAACACTACTGTACAAAACTCAACTAATACTCAGAATCGGTACTTTAGTGACGATTGATGACACCTAAATAGCTTTTAAATATAAAAATTGTCAACTTTCCGATGTTAGAAACAGGGGCGTCGCTAGACCTTTTTCAGTGGGGGTGTGGAGGCCAACGATTACCGACAAAAGTAGCCACCAATTACCCACAAAATTAAATTTCCAATATCTACAAAGTCAACCCTATAAACCTGGGGCCGAAGGCTAAATTGTTTTTCCTATGGACTATCTATAGTACTTGCATATGCGCAAAATGGTCATTTTCCTCGACGACATTAATATACGAATTATTTCTTAAATTTAGTCAGCATCATGGCTATATATTTTAATGCAGGCGCGGAGCTAGGATCTTATTTAAGGGAGGGGCGGTAGTGAGCAAGAGAATCACTTAAAAGCGCGCTCATAAAGAGGGTGTGGGTGATGAGCCTCCCGCGCGAAGCGCGGAAGCTTAGACGTTTCCTTAAATTATTAGAAAAAGAAGACGATTAATTGTACCGTTTTCGACTGGTAATCCTAGGCTGAATGAAGTTTTTCCCCCCCCCTCCCTCCCGCGCGAAGCGCGAAAGCTTTGACGTTTCATTAAATTATTATAAAAAAAAGAAGACGATTTGCTGTACCATTCTCGACTGTTTATCCTTTTCTGAATTCAGTATCCCCCCCCCCCCCCCGCGCGGACAGCGCGGAAGCTTTGACGTTTCATTAAATTATGAGAAAAAGCAGACGATTCGGTGTACTGTTCTCGACTCTTAATCCTAATCTGAATGAAGCTTCCCCCTCCCGCGCGAAGCACGGAAGTTTTGG